GTCTCCGTCAGCGCCGGAACCTAACTAGGGGCTTGAGCGCTTCTGGTTGTGCCACAAGAGGGCAGAGGAAGGCTGAAAAGCCGAAGGGGAGCTATGCTTCCCTGAACTGGTGGGGAAGGCTTGCTTGCCCGAAGCGTAGTCTGCATTAAAGCGGGTGTTTCTGGTGTTCAGGACACAAAAACTTTAGCTGGATCTCAATAACACAAGCTGCCAAAACACGTTTGGGCTTATCTCCTCACCTCACTTCCATTAAAAAATGCTGCAACTGAAGGCTGAAAAGCCGAAGGGGAGCTATGCTTCCCTGAACTGGTGGGGAAGGCTTGCTTGCCCGAAGCGTAGTCTGCATTAAAGCGGGTGTTTCTGGTGTTCAGGACACAAAAACTTTAGCTGGATCTCAATAACACAAGCTGCCAAAACACGTTTGGGCTTATCTCCTCACCTCACTTCCATTAAAAAATGCTGCAACTGTCAAGTGGGTCGCTGTTTCAAACCCTCTCTACGCACGTGCGGGCCAGAGCTCCTGGCTCTAGAAAAGACCTGGGAAGAGAGGAGGGGGAGGACAGAAGAAGCAGAAGGGCAAACAAGTGTGGCACTAACGGAGGCAGCGGGCGTTCTCCTCGTTCCCAAAGCCTTACGGGCTGATTCTAGGTCTTGTAATGTGGTTTATGGAAAAGTGATTTTGCGAGGCACAGTCTGGAGGCTGACATGAGATGGCTGTGCATCGGTGCGAGAGCATGTTCTTGAGGAAGAATGTTACTGACCTCCTAATATGGATGTTTTATTGGCATTGTGGCAATTGAATGCAGCTTTTCCAAGTTGAGGTCTTTCTCCTGTTTCATTTCCAGCTGTTCTCAAGGCGTTGCAATGAATAAAGAAACAAACCCTTTATTTTGTCAGACATCTTTCATTCTGTAAGATCCCAAAGTGCTTCCCAAATGGCATAGAGTAGAATAATCACCTAGAGATGACAGCTGGAAGGCAGCCAACATCCGAGCTGGAATATGATGGCAGCTTCAGTAACTCCTAACACCAGTTCCAGGCAGGAAGCAAGGGAGAAGGTGTAACTAGACCTTCAGAGGCACTTGGGAAAATGAAATGCAAAGATTTTGGCTGGGATAGAAATGTTAACACCTCTACGTCTTTTAAAAAAAGACATAAGATCTATCCTGTTCAGAAATGGCAAAGGGTATGACTTATATATCTGATAAAAAGGAAATAAGCATCTCTGCAAAATGCACAGAAGAATGCAAATATTCCTTCTCACTCCTGTATCTGTACACTCTGTTTTCTAATATCATTAAAACCATTTTAGACTTGTGAGACACACATTAAATTTTATCACCTTAAATCAGACAGCTTTGTTGTGGCCATTTACTGCTCGGCCCAGCACCTTGTCTGTAAGTTGTTCAGGGCAGCGGGGCATTTCCTGGTGGGTAGTGGGGCCGTAGCTCCTCCTCTTCCCCTCCGCTTGTGTTGCCCAGTGTCGTGGTCGCCGTCCGTTTCCCCAACAGTGAGACGTGCCGTTGTGTAGCAACCCCTCATCCTCCCTCCCAACACCATCATGGCATCACCCATCTCTGGCCTAGGAATCGCTGCTACGATCTGTGCTACGAACTGCAGCAGGAGAGTGGTCCTGTTAGCTGCCTTTGTATGCAGGATGTTTGTGTGCTCAGATGTTATTTAGGGCTGGACTGTTTTTCCCCATTACTCGGTAAAGTGAGCAGCAATAAATGACAACATGGTAATTAACTAGCTATCTCTTTCCTGCTGTTCAGATACCCAATTCCCACAGCACTTGATGCAGTGAAAGAGTCTTTGTAAAGCATTCCTCTTAAAAAAATGACCTAAGTAAATGCTACAAGATCAATCAATTGCGGCTGGAGCCTGTTGGATACATACCGTGGTCTGTTTTTAACATGCCACAGATGGACACTTACCAGGGCAGAAGGCGAAAGATTGATTTCCAGTCTTGCAGGCAAGTGCACTTATCCTGGCTTAGCACACATGAGCAAGGCAATGTCGACAAACATCCTCCTCCAGGGCCAGCTGTTACTGTGCAATGAGTAAGTGCTGCTTGTCACTGCTCTCCTGCAACTGCTCCTGAGACTTAAATGCTTTATATTAATGGTCTGAGCTAACAAGGGGAATAAGGGAATGTTTATGTAAATTGTTTATTGGGCAGATCATTTGGGGGTAAGAACAGGGCTATTTCCATCAGCAAAAGATGTCAAACAGGCAGAGCTGGTAGAACCTCTGTGAGCATAGCAGGATCCAGAAAACAGTGTGGCTCCATGGCATAAATCTCCGTTCACTGTTCAGTCCAAGCCAGGCGCTTATAATGTGTAGCTTCTGTCCAGGGGCAACTTCTTTTATCTCAGTAGTCAGTGACTTGTTACTGTGGTGCAGGAAGTCCCTAGTGTCTATTACCCTCTGTTTCAGAAGATGAAAGTCCCTCATAACACACTTGGACTTTTATACGATATAATGCAAGGTGCAAAGAAAGATGAACCTGGGGGCAAGGGGGAAATTACAGTGAAAGAGAGCAGATAAGAATTAGAAAAACGAGGATTGTAAACAAAGACAGTTCTATTCTCAGGTTGGCCAAGTGGCTGCCACTAAGTCACGGTAACCCTGGGTTGTCACCTTTGAAATTTACTTGTTGCTCTGGTATACAACACAAGAATGTGTGTCGTTTCATCGTGCTCCTTGCCTACGCAGGTTTTCTAACGAATTATTCCAAACTGTAAGAGCAGTACATTGTACTAATTGCTCCACCTGCTGCATGATCAACGAGAAAGCTGGGACTTTGAAATAAGC